CCGAGAGCCGACCCCCCACTCAACCGGCACCAGAGCAGCCCCAGAGACAGCAAGACAAGGCCAGGACCCCAGTGAGGCCTCTTGGCCACTCCAGCTGCCCCAGCCCAGCCCAGAGTCAGGCCCCCAGGCTGCCGACAGCTGGGCCTGGCCTTGAAGGCACGGGCAGGCCCCGGGGCACAGTGGGCTGCTTGCGCGGTGGCCCTGATGCCCCTGCCTGGCTCGGCTTCCAAGGCAGGCACCTCCTCCTGGACTGGCCCGGTCCCAGCCCAGCCTCGAGGTGGCCGAGCCAGTGCGGAGGGGGACCAGCTGGAGGCAGGGCCCCAGGCCCACGGAGCTACAGTTGGTGACCCCCGGGGAACACAGCCCCGCTCCCTGCAGGGCTGAAGACTATTCACAGCTGGCAATTCCACGGCCCCCCAGGGTCAGAGTGGCCGGCCAGGCAAACTAACAACCCCCAGAAGAAACAGGTTCATTCATTAAAAACCCAAGCTCTGCCTCTCGCCCAGCTTCTCCCTGAGCCCTCGCCACCTCAGACCCGTCCACCAGGGCAGCCGGTGGGGTCGTGCAGCAAAGGCCACGCCTTCAGCTCCAGCAGGTTCTCGCCGCCGCCTGGTCCTGGTGACGCAGGCGTTCGGACAGCGCAGACTGACAGGTGGCCGCTGTGCACACCCCCGTCCACCAGCGCAGGGAGCCGGCCCAGGGCCCACACACTAGACGACATTGGCACCAACCAGACCTCCTGGCCGGGCTGAGAGGACGTGGACATCACCCCACCATGGCGGGGGCAGAGCCAACCCTGAATGCTTTCAGGGCCCACAGGACAAGGACACGCCGGCCGGCTGGAGCAGGAAGGAGGGGTACTTCTCTCTACAGGACGACTCAGGATGAGAGGAGGAGGGCGCGTTAGAAAGACGGGCTTACCTTTGTCCACCACGTCCCAGACCTCCACTTTCACGATGTCATCAGTGGCTAAACCGGGAAGAGAAGAAGGTGAGTGCCCAAGTGACTGCTGGGCCACAAGGAAGGGCTTTCAGAGCCACAGCCTTCTCCCTGGCACCGCCCAAGGGCACCCAGCTCCGCCCAGGACCTCTGCCTGTGCTGCAGCCTGAGACAACCCCTCCCTAGGTGGCAGGGAGGCCTCCACTCTCCACCCCAAGGATTTTGAGGGGAACCGAGGCGCCCCTGCCAGCCTCACCCAGACTGGGAGAAATGCCTTGGGCGGGGGGGCAGGGGAGGTGAGTGAGGCTCCCTGAGCTGCCCCGAGGCTGCAGGTGCCCTGGTTGGTGAGCAGGGGCCACACCGCTTGGCAGAGGTCCCAGGACCAGCCTGGCTCACAAAGGGGACTCAAGACCCTGCGGAGGCCGGTGTCCTGCTGTGGCCCGTGTGTTCTCAGGGAAAAGCAACGTTTCGACGCCTCGTGAATCCCCACACCCAGGAGCCCCTCCGCCTCCCTGGAAGCTGCTGGCGGCTCCAGCCACGCCCAGGAGGCCGCCAGGTGCCCACCAAGTCCTTAGGGGACAGGGCTGCACACCCCAAGTAGAGACCAGCTGTGGCCAAGGGCCCTCAGCATATGGAGCAAAGGCCGCAGCAGAGGAGCTGCACAGGGCCTGGCTCCAGGGCGGGCTGTGTCCGGGGTGAGGCCAGGTCTCCAGGCTCAAGAACGGAGACCCTGCTGCCCGCCTGCTCCTCTGGGAGGGGCTTAGGGTGCCCAGAGGTGACTTTTTATTTATTTTTTTTCTTTGCTTCTTTTTGCTTTTTTTTTTCCTTTTCTTTTTTTAAATTTATCTTTCATTTTTTGAAGTGACTTTGATGAGAGTCACGAGAGCCCCTATGAGGTCAGGGCGCTCCCACACATGGACCGTTTCCATGACGACGCCACGCTGAGAATGCCCTCTCCAGGGAACCCAGGCCAAGAAGGGCAATGGAATGAAGCCCCGCCCCCCACTGCCCAGCACTCACTTTTGTAGCTCCAGTGGATGCTGGTGACCTGGATCTCCTGGGTGGGGATGTACTCCTCCACGAACTTCTTGCCCTGCAGCCGGTGCCACAGAGCGGTCTTGCCCGTGTTCCTGTCGCCGCGGATCACTATCTTCACTGGCGGGAGGGAGGGAGGGCAGATCAGGCAAACAAACCGAAGCAAATGTTCCCTTCACCGGGTCTGTGTGCACGTGCTTCCCTCTGCGCGGACCCTGCCTGAGTGGCTGGCGAGCGGGGGGAGCGGAGCGCCACGGTGGGCTGGCGGGGCCATCAGGGCCCTAGTAGGCCTCTGCTCCCCTCCCTGCTCCGCAGCAGAGCCCAGAGGCATTCCCTCTGGGGCTGACAGTGGCGTCTGCTCAGCCTTCGCATGCACAGGACAGTGTCTCTCCCCGGGCTGGACTCCGAGGATGGCCAGGGTCAAGGTCAAGGTTGGGTGCTGGGATCGGGCGGCGGCTTCCTAGATGCTGGTGGTTTGCCCTTAACCTACTTTCCTCCGCTCTGTATTTTCAGTGCACAGTTCTGCAGAGCGCGGGGCCTCTGAAGACACGCCGGGGGTGACGGCACAAAGCCCGCGTCCTATCTTGCCCCCTCGACAACGTGTTTATGGGGTGGCCTATGTGCCAGGCGTGGACGCGGGAGGACAGAGCAGGGTCGGGGAGAGCCTGCCACGTGCCTGTGGGACAAGCGGGAGAAGGGGCCAAGGCAGGGGCTGTGCAGGGGCCAGAGCCCATACTCTAGGCAGGAGTGTGGACTTCCTGCTGCCTCGAGAGAAGCCAGGGCTCAGCACCAGGTGCCTGGAGCTGGCTGGTTCCGGGAAGACGCCCGTCCATCTGTCTGCCCAAGGAGGGCAGTCAGTGCCTCGCGGAGCCAGTGGGGTGGACGCGGACCAGGACGAGGTGGGAGTGGAGCTGTCGGGGCTGCCCCCCCCGCCCCCCTGCTGACTTCCACTAACTACCTGTGCAGGGTTTATTCCTCTTCTTGCCTGGTATTTGGGAGATTTGCAACATGCTCCTAGTCTTTGATTGGTATCTCTTAAGTTTTTAACATTTACATTTGCTGTAATAAAGTCGAAAGTTAATAAATTTGTCTTCCTCTTCAAAGACACAAGGACTTCCGAATGCCTTGATTCTGACCTCCTCCGTAATGTGTTGACTCCTGGGATTTTATTTTATTTTATATATTTTTATTGATTTCAGAGGAAGGAAGAGGGAGAGAGAGAAACATCAATGATGAGAGAGAACTATTGATTCGCTGCCTCCTGTACGCCCCCACACTGGGGATCCAGCCCGCAACCCGGGCCTGTGCCCTGACCGGGAATCCACAGGCTGATGCTCTATCCATTGAGCCAAACCAGCTAGGGCCTAGCCTCTACTTTTAAGAGAACATTAGGCATTGGCTCAAATGAGCTGAGTGTTGGCCTGGAGGGCCTTTAAGACTCGCCCAGAAGGGCTAAGAGCAGTCCTTCCCGGCGCAGCACGGATACAGCAGCGGTGCAGCCGAGGGCCACCGCCCTTCCCTCCACGGCCGGCCCAGGGTCTCTTCCACCCACTCACAGCCCCACACCTCTCCTGAGAGAACAGGGGTCGTGTTCTTCCATGGGGGGGCCGCATGGCTACCGCGGACGCACACCTGCGCTCCTTCTGTGGGACGTGGGTTAAAAGCTCCCACGCCCTTCCCTGCGGCTGAGGCTGGAAACCTGCTCCGGGCGCCAGCCCCACAGTGTGGACTCTGCTCCGCTCCCAGCCCGGAAGCTCACTCGGCCCGGTGCTCCCCTCCGCCCCTCTGCACAGCGCCCTGGCCTGAGCCTGGGCCCAGAACAGCCTCCCCGCCCTCTGCCCAGCAGCCAGCTGTGACCTCGAACCCCGCCCTCGTCCCGTGGCTTCCACCTCTCAGACCGGCCCGCGGCGCGTCCTCCCCCTGGAAGGCCCGGATGCACAATCAATATTTGCTGAGCAAATGCACGCGGGCAGGAAAGCCCGGGAGGAGCCGGGCAGGGCAGGACAGGACCGCGAGGGCAGCTGCAAACGGGCTACGGGGCGGCCAAGTCATCTGCCAGACGGAGCGAAGTTTAACACAAAACCGTGAGCAACGGAATTAAACCCGGGCCAAGTGCAGATTTAAACGTCTGGGCAGTAAGTATTCGCACTTGTTCTCTTCTCTGAATGGGAGAGCAACACACGCCGAGCTGAGTGGAAATACATGAACCGCAACCCCTCTCTGTCAACCCTCCCCGTGGCCACGGTTTCCATTGATGAGAGAGAGGAACACCCATCAGCTGCCACCGGGGTCACCCACAACCTGGTCGGTGTCCTGGACCAGGACTCGAACCCGAGACCCTTTGTGCAGGGACCACCTCCTACCGGCGGAGCCAGGGCGGCCAGGGCGCCGCCTCCCTTTCACCCCGCACAGGGGCTTCCCAGGTCCTGGCTCTCACACCTCACCCCCAAATGCCACCAGAGGACAGCGCCCCGCGGAGGAGCAAGGCCCCCTAACCCTGCGGCGCCCGACCTGAAAACGGAGCGGCCAGCCCTCCCGTCGCCGCGGACGGAAACTCCAAGGAGGTCACGGCCGCACCGTCTGCATAATTGATGGCAGACGGAGGGCCTCCCGCAGGGGAGGGAGCCCGTGCCTCCGGAGCTCCTAGCGCACCCCACAAACGCTTCTTTAAAACGGGGGTGGGGGGGCGTGTGGCGTCGCTGATCCAGGGCCATCTCAGACTCTGCCTCCTGGGGGTCATTCTCCATCTTCAAGCCATCACCACGCTTTTTACATTTTCCTTTGTCCACCACGTCCCAGACCTCCACTTTCACGATGTCATCAGTGGTTTTGTAGCTCCAGTGGATGCTGGTGACCTGGATCTCCTGGGTGGGGATGTACTCCTCCACGAACTTCTTGCCCTGCAGCCGGTGCCACAGAGCGGTCTTGCCCGTGTTCCTGTCGCCGCGGATCACTATCTTCATGTTGTACTGCACTCCCTTGGCGAAGCGCCTCTGCAGCGCCTGGTTCATGGACTGCAGCCCGGCCGGGATGTTCTTCTCGCGGCCCGCGGCCGGCTCCGACCCCACCAGCTTCTTGAGCGCGGAAAACATCTTCCCACTCCCCCGT